CAAACCCTCTGTGTTGAGATGAGTGAATTTTGTACATGTATATTACTTTTCATGCCGGATTTGTAAATTTCCGAAAATTTTGATCAGGGGCGTGGGGAATTGGTGGGGCTAGGGGCATATCTTCCCCCAACTTTTTTTCTATGCAATGTTCGGCATGTTGACCAGGAATTATGAAAATATCATCATTCTTACCTGAAAATGATACTCGTTTCTATTTTCAATAGCACCCATCATTTTCGAGATAACTCGATTTTAAAAGTCTGCTGCGTAATAAAAATACGTTTAAAATTACGAGTAAAAATAGTACTCTTTCTCAATATGGTACCTGACTACCATAATGTTCTTCGACTTATTCTTTTTATTGTTCCTTTCATTTGAATTAGACATCACAAGTAGATGAATTAGGAAAAAGCACTATTTCTGTTACGCAGCAGACTTTTAAAATCATTTTATGTCGAGTGGTGAGTGCTATCGAAACTAAATGAGAGTATCATTTTCAAGTAAAAATGATGATATTTTCATATTTCCTGGTCAAACTGCCAGAAGTTGCATGAAAAAAAAAGTTGGGGGAAGAAATGCCCTAGCCTCACATACTTTCCACGCCCCTTATGAAAATTTCGAAAAATTCTTGACATTTTCAAATGGGGTATGACAAGTTTTATACAGGTACATGATGTCTCTATCTCAACACGGAAATATTTACAAAAAAACATCATCTAGGGCCCTCTATCAGATGGATATAAATCCCCAAGAACTTTTTTCACTATTTCTGTTCCTAGAATCCATGGTTGAGATCTTTCTATGTAATTTTGGAACACCCTGTATAACCAGTCAATTCATAGCGAAATATTTTGATAATATTTTTTTATACGTTTCACGATATCAACAACTATATTATAATCCCAAAAAGTTTCAAAAAGTGAAGAAAACCCTCATTTTCTTCCTTATTTTCACCCTTGTTACGCACGTTATTTCACTAACACCATAGGGATTACCATTCGTGCAATCGTAGAGAAGAACATAATTTAATACCTTATTTATTTCTGGGAGGAATATTGAGAAATCCACATTTCTGTTAGATAGTATCGTATTAAATACGATGAGGTTCGTGACACTATTGTGAAACCAAGAGACCTCTTCAGTAAGGAAGAAGGAACATAAATACAATATAAAGAAAAGACACATCGACAAGTCGAAACTAGCTGAACATATCCTTACTGAAGATGGACAACATATGGCATAGTGGAATAATATTAAAATCATTGGAAAAGAAGATAACAACCAGAAGAGAAAAATCAAGGAATCTGCTTGCATTCTTCTGAACGGAGACAATAGCATTGCTTACTGTTCAGTTGATATAGATAGAACATGGTATTCACTACTGAAATCTGAAGATGAAAATGATAAATTCAAGATTAATTAATGAAAACATCCTGTAACTCATTTGATTGCCAACGTCACCAATTGTCACTGAGAACCGAAAAGTGTCAGGACAAATACGAATTCGCAATACAAAAAATCGATTCTTTATGTTGGAAACGGCAGCAGATTCGTTCCCGAAATGTCCAAAGATACCTAAGTAAAAATTTGATATTTTTTTATATATACCTTCATTTCATTTCTCCAAACCTTTTTCAATACAAATTGTCACCGACAAGCTATTGAATTTTTCTTATAGGCTCTCTGATAGAAAAATTCTTCAAACGCAGTGACATTTTGGGGCAAAAGTACCACTTCCTCGATTAACTTACAGACAGTAGCTATACACCTGTTATTTTCAGACATATATCTTCAGCCTGACTTGATGTACCAAACCATAACAAAATTGTGAAATTCGTCTCTAAAAATAAATTCAATTCTATTCCATTCCTACAAATAAAGATGACATGAGACACTTTGAAGCGAAAAAAAAAAAGAAGCCGGAATGAAATCATGTCGAGGCGCGGTATAACGCTCCCCATTACTTAACAAAAACAATAATAACAATTCCATATGACAAATAAGGAGCAGATCCACATCCATGTACATTGTACTGTACAGGGTCATTCCGTATATCTGAACTGCTTTCACCAGGGTTCACCATTGAAGATAGAGACAAACTTCAAATACAAAAGTTGTAGGATTTGTTCTGAACCTCTAGAAATGGCTGCAATATTCGTTATTTTCAAAAAGAACATCCTGTATATTTTTCGAAAAAATTGAAGATATCTCTTTTCTGATTTCAAAAATATATATTTTGTTGATATTCGATTCAGCCGTTTTCAAAATATTCGAGATTGAACATTTTTTAGTTACAATTTGGTTTCATCAAGTTGCATGTGGAACACTAATGTTGGTTGAATCTTGAACCAATATAGAGGGAATGGTGGAAAAATATTAATTTTGAATATAGGGCCAACGAATCAATATGAACATTTTCCGATATTGGTACTATGTTGAATTTCAATCTTGTTCCGATAATATGCTTTATCCAATATCGAGTTTATAATACAAGATTGAACAAAGAATACAAATATATAATGCCAACTCATAAAAACCGCTTTCTTATAATTCTGATATGTATAATATTCGATATTGGATTTATATTTTTTGTTCACTGAATTGGCCAAAATAAGGATATGATCATTTTGCAATATATCCTATATGCCTGAATTATAATATTCAATCAATATTATATTCCAGTTTTTGTAACAAAATCCTAATTCAAAATTCGAAGCCATAGTAGCTGAACATATCCTTACTGAAGACGGACAACATATGGCAGAGTGGAATAATATTACTCGGTTTTAGTTGTATTATAGAGAGATGAAAATTGTGTATATCATGAAGAATGGCTGTAAGAATAAGTGGACATCATGGTTACTGATGAGGATTCAGAAATCCGAAATGGTTTCATTGCAATAAAGTCATATAACCTGTGTGTGAGAGATAATATTTCCCATATCACTGATATGAATGATTATTTTTGGAAGTTCTCAAGCTCATCAAGATCAGAGTTTATGCCAGTATACCCAATAATAATAATAATAATAATAATAATAATAAACGTCTTTATTTGATTTAATGTTTATACAAACATTTGGCAGAGCGAAGTTTAGCCATCATGGCTACTCTTACACCTAACCCTGCACATTTATAATACATAATACATAAACTTAACATACTTTAATCACTAAGTGCAGATGACTTGCAATTATTCAATTTTTCTATAATGAATGAATGTAAATAAATATAGTTTAATTTCAAATGGCATTTTGTTCGAGCAATAAATGTAATTTAAGGCGTTTCTAGAAGGAATGAATAACATTAATTTTCCTATACATTCCAATTTTCATTTCAATGGTGAATATATTGGTAAGTTATATTTCTATATCATTATACATCATTTTTAATTTTCATGTTCTCCTTTTGAATGTTCATCAGATATAATTCAATGTTCGACGTGGCAAATAGCCAGGAAAGTAGTTGTTTTCTGTTGAATATTCAGAATGATGTGTGCATATACATATTTTTGTCTGAAGGAGAATGCAAATTCTCAATTTCAGAAGTTTTTATATTTTATTTTCAAACTCTTATCGTGTGTGTTCAATAGATATAATTCAATGATCGTCGTGGCATATAGCCAGGAAAGTAGTTGAATTCTATTGAATAAACTGAAAAAGAGTAGACATTCTCATCAGATAGAGAATGCGAATTCTCAATGTATTGCTTTATTTAAATATATATTCATTTTTGTATGTTCATAATTTATCTGAGAATATTCCTATTCAACCCTATTTGGTTATTGAATATCCAAATGAAAACTTTGTTCGATATTTTTGGTTTGATATTGGAACAATCTAGTAATTTCAGATTCAATATTCGAATATTGGGCTAAAGTTAAACCAAGTTCTAGCCAATAAGTTGTTCTACCTGGGCAGTTCCCATGCAGAACATATGACAGAAAGTTTGATTACTTGAATAATTGATTAAAATAAGTGTTCGACCTTGGATATATCATAAACGGCTGAATCGAATATTGATTGATTGGTATGCTTTATTGTCCAAAGAGTATATCTTATTGACAAAGTTAAAATTTCCTAAAACTACAAATATATATTATCTATGTAGGCAAACCGTTTCTAATATGAAAATGGCATAAAGCGTCAGGATTTTATATCTTTAATGAATAAAGGTTTGCAAGAGACTCGTGGTTTGACCTTATTTAAGTATCTTATCGCTCTCTTTTGTAAAATAAAAACTGGCTTCAAATGAGTATCAGCACAAACTCCCCAGAAAGGTATTCCATATCTCAAGTGTGATTCTATCAATGAAAAATATACAGTTTTTGCTGCAGAAGATCCTAGTTCACTAGAGGTTATCCTAAGAGCATAACAACCGGAAGAAAGTTTTTTATTGAGCGTTGCGATATGGCCTTCGAATTTCAGTTTATTGTCTGTCTATTGATACCCCAAGAAATTTTGTGCATATTTTGTTCGTGATCACACTATCATTCGTGCCTAAAGGTATGTCGTCTATACTACAACGGAAGGATACTACATTGGTTTTGGATATATTGAATGATAAAAGATTACAATCACACCACTCTTTGATCTTCTGAATGTCTGAACAAATGGAATTATGAAGATCGCTTGCATTATTTGCACGCCATAGTATTGTAGTATCATCCGCGAATAGAGTGAATCTTCCTTTGATATCAATAGATGTCAGATCATTAATGTATAACAAAAAAAGCATCGGCCCCAGTACTGATCCTTGAGGTACTCCAGTATTGATTTCAGCTATTAACAACCAACAAATTTTCGAGACCAGGAAAGAAAGATCTTCAATTTTTTCGAAAAATGACGAAGTAGGTAGTACAATTATCTGAAGGTTCAGAGCAAAAGCAAACCGTACAACTTTTGTTTTCGAAGTATTTTATCTATCTTCGGAATAACCCTGTACATACACGATGGTCGATGAGGCCCACATGAGAAAAGAGTCCGACCTAGTGTTGCTAGTGGGCACCTCACCACATCAGACTCCGCCGCATTCGTAAGTGTCCGTCCGAGAGGCTAGAAGAGCCTTATCGCTCGACATATACAGAGTGTTCGCTTTCGGGGAGCCGGTAGTGCGTGTTTTCGAGCATGGCGTGTGGGGTAGTTACTGTCTTTCTGGCCTTGGCCGGATTGGCACTGATTGCCGATGCGGTTTTGTTGGATTTGGGTGAGACTATTTTCACTATACCTTTTCAAGTACAAATTGAGACTTAACTTAGGAAATGTCACTCGTGTGAAACGGTTCTTCAGTTTTTGATATCCAAATGGAAAGTTTATATTCATGATAAGAAAATCATCGGGGTGGTTTTCTTGGACTTACAGAGGGCATTTGAAACGATAAATAGAGATTTACTTTTGAAGAAATTGAACAAATATGGAATAGGCGGAAAGGTTCTCGAATGGTTTCAGAGCTATCTACAGAATAGAGAACAACTTGTTAAATACAATAACACTTACTCAAATAGGGAAAAGGTCATGCATGGAGTACCACAAGGATCGGTACTGGGACCAATATTATATATTTAATTCATAAATGACATTATACATCACGTCCAGAATTGTAAGCTGAAACTATTTGCGGATGATACCTTGCTTTACTTTTGAGAATATATTCACCTGGATCTGTGACAATGGACTCAAAATTAATGTAACAAAGACGAAATTCATGATTATATCTTCGAAAGCAAATTCAAAAATGACCCAGGAAAATAAGAGGAAAATAAAATAAAATTCAATATTCTGATAAACGGAGAAATCATTGAAGAAGTGAAAATGTTCAAGTATTTGGGAGTGATCATTGATAATCAACTGAATTTTAATCGCCATTGTGAATACATTAAAAAGAAAATTGCGCGAAAAATAGGTTTCATGTACATTAACAATTTACAAGTCACTGAGTTTCTTGAGTAACGAACAGATTAATACACTGCAAAAAGTCCAAAATCGTGCAATGAGAGCTATCTTGGGTTGTAAAAGACGCACACCAGTCACAACAATGCTGAACACATTGCAATTAATGAATATCAAGCAAAGAGTTTCATATAATACACTTATTTTTGTTTATAAATTGAAAAATAACATGTTGCCTTTGTATTTATCAAGTGAGCTAAATTATGTTCAAGATGTACAGGGTATCCCAATTTGGGCACTTTTGCGGGGTATCTTCCTTATCAGTAAAGATAGAGCATTGCGGTTTTCGCGACAGTGTGCTACTTTTTTATGAAATTAATAATGGCGCAAGCACTATTGTGATAGCTCTTCCGGTTGTCGAGATACAGGGTGGAATTGAAAAATATCACTTTTCAGGCACCCTCCGTGTCTCAGTTATCTTTGAACTTATCGAAGAAGTTAAAACTTGTTTTTATAGAGTTTTTTTCGTAGAATCCAGTGGCGTAGTTATTTTTTTGCTAGCACCTTTTGTTTTTTAGTTATGGAGCAAACATATGTTTTTTTAAATGGAACACCCTGTATATTATTTCATATATACATTGAGCATGAAGTGGGCTTTCCAAAAATATATAATTGTATACAATTATTTTCCATTTAAAAAAACATATGTTTGCTCCATAACTAAAAAACAAAAGGTGCTAGCAAAAAAATAACTACGCCACTGGATTCTACGAGAAAAACTCTATAAAAACAAGTTTTAACTTCTTCGATAAGTTCAAAGATAACTGAGACACGGGGGGTGATATTTTTCAATTCCACCCTGTATCTAGACAACCGGAAGAGCTATCACAATTCTGCTTGCGCCATTATTAATTTCATAAAAAAGTAGCACACTGTCGCGAAAACCGCAATGCTCTATCTCTACTGATAAGGGAGATACCCCGCAAAAGTGCCCAAATTGGGATACCCTGTACATTGTCACAATACCAGAAGACAAGCAGCGAATGATTTCTATATAAATTCAGTAAATATTGTCTGTGATACTTTATATACAAAAGGTCTGGTATTGTTCAATAATTTGCCCTGTGAAATGAAAAGATGTGTGTCACTAGATAGTTTTAAAGAATCGTGTGTGTTATTTGTGAAAGAAAATTATTGATTGATCAATTGAGAAAGGAGAAATCTGTTAATTACCCTTATATTAAAATATGTGACGTAATTCATGTGTCTGTGTCTTAGTTCCATATTTCTATGTATTTATTTATTGACTCATTGTATTTTATTGTAGATTTAACTGTAATGAAGAGCACTGTGCTAATAAAGTTTGATATAACAATTTCAAATTGGAATCAAACACATCCTAATTGGCGAACAAATTCAAAATGGAAATAAACACAATCAATTGAGAAGGCATATTCTCAGATGAATTATATATAAAGAAATACATTGAGAATTCGCATTCTCTATATGATGAAAATATCAATTGTTTCTCGGTTTATACTTTTCCACGATGAACATTGAAATTATGTCTATTGAGCACACACGATATGAATTTGAAAACAAAATCTTCTATTCTCCTTCAGATAAAAATATGTATGCATGCACATAATATTCTGAATATTCAACAGAAAACAACTACTTTCCTGGTTAGTTGTCACGTCGAACATTGAATTTCATCTGTTGAACATCCAAAAGGAGAGCATGAAAAATAAAAGAAATCCTCTGGAATTGAGAATTGTCATTCTTTCTCGAATAGGATGAATAATAATATGATGTTTTTTGACATAAAAATATAACTTACCAATATGTTCAGAATTGAAATGAATATTGAAATGTATAGGAGAAGTATACTTGTATAAACTCGGATCTTGATTAGCTTGAAACTAAAAATACCCTCCTCAGTACAGAATGCATATTCTCAACTTCAGAAGATTTTGTTTCCAAATTCTTATCATGTGTATAATCATCATTAAATAATTCAACGTTCGTCGTGGCATATACCCAAGAAAAAACCGAGAAAAAATTGATATTTTCATCACATAGATAATGCGAATTCTCAATGTATTTCATTTATATTATCAATTTTTCCATGTACATAATTTATCTGAGAATATTTCTTTTCGATACTTTCACCATCTTTCACCCAATCAAGGAGTTCAAACTAGAACGATGTAAATTTGTTATTTTTATAGATTCGTGATTAGGTTTTCTCGATTCAAAATTTCTTTCCACGTCCTGTATTTGTCATACATCCAAAAGCAAACCCAATGGAATTGAGAATAATCATGTTCTCATACAGAATAAACAGTTTCAAATTGGGAATTTCAATATTCAAGTTGATTAACACAATCAGAATAAGAACTCATTCAATTTGAAAGCAAACAACTTCAAATTGGGAAATTATTAATATTATGTCAAAATCGAAATTGATTATCAGCAATAATTCATTGTACCTGATATTTGAATTGATAGTGAAATTGGGTATCAAATTCTTGCGGTGTTCAATAATACTGTTGATTAGAGGAGAGTGACGGATACATTCGAAAAAAAAATCAACAGCGTATAGATGAGTGGAGAATCAGGACGAAATAGGGAAACAACGGAAAGGAGGAAGGAGGACCAACATTACTTAAGATCAAGAACATCACATCATCGTAAATAATTCAATAAGTATAAATAATAGCGATATATGGATAGATATGTTGCCACATAATGTTCAGAGATTCATTCTTGATGCTCTGAAATTAACTGATTTGGGTATGTGAAGTATTCATAAATTATAAATATGTGTTCATTTCAGTCGTTTGTAATTAGAGGCTTTTCAGATATGGAATATAATATATCGAAATCAAAATAACTGGAAATACAAATTCGACAACAGGTGTGAAATTGATTGGTTTCAATTAGAATTTGTTTAGTCGGTAAAATTTGGACTTGTTAAATCCGTGCCTAATCATTTCTTCCCAATTTGAATTTGGTTGTTCCCATTTTGAAACTGATTAGTCTCAATTTGAATTTGTTTATTTGCAATTTGAATGTGTTGAATCCATGCTGAATGAGTCTGTTCCAATTTGAAGATGATTATTCCCATTTCGAAAATAATGATGTCTTAATCTGAAGATCTGAAGTTGAAAAGGAATAGACTACGAACTGATCGTTCTTTATCAGAAAAATCCTGAACGTCCTTTAAAAAAACGATATATTTGATGATTACTATGGAGTTTGAAAAAATCACACAATACTTACTCTGAACATACTAACCTGTCTATATTTATTGAAAAATGTTTTGAAGTACTCAGGTGGCTAACTCATTATTTGTATGTCACTTATTCGAACAATTTGATGAAATAGACAGGTTATATACACAATGAGTGAAAATGAACACGTCGATGAACACTGAACATTTTCCGACTAGGAGGACCATAGCAGTTCAGTATATTATAATGTGATTCATTCAATTCAACTGATGTAGATGCAATTTCCCTATTTTCTTCTCTGATCATATTCAATATACATAAAAAAAGAGTTAAAACATACAATTTCGAGAGTGAATATTCCACTCGTGCTAGTATCGGTTTCTACTATACTTGAAATTTTTTCCTACACACTGGTCATGAAATCAGAAAAGCTGAAAGTTAGAATATAATGGTAGAGTAGTAGATTATGAATAGTGTTGGGACCATCGCAAATAGATTGAATCACTAGTTCGTGTTTGGGTGGAGAAAATTAAGTTATCATTATGTCATCATCATTTAAGAATTTTTCGGCATATTAATATAATTAACTAGACACTATTTCGCACTATTTGTTGTACGAGGTGTTGTGTTTTTATCCGTGATGGTAACCCTCTGTTATAAAATTCCATGAATTGAAAAAAATCATAGCAATGAAAATTAACCGCAGCAAGAATTATTTTCCGATTTAGATACGACTGATTTTTTTTTTAAATCGAAATTATCACGCTGTCAGGGTTAGGTAGAATTCTGGACGATTATATTTTCCCTGTACAAACTTACCGCTTCTTCCGTATTGCTCCGACATACATAATGAAATTAAACGTATTCCAATGAGAAAATAATAGTGAACTAGAAAAAGAGAAGAAAAAAAAGAGAAAATTCAACTGCATCGAATTAAAGACCTCGACAAAAGTGTTAGTTCAGTTCATATAAAAATTGACAAGAGATGTGGTATAGTGATACGAAAATATCGTGAAAATTTATGGAACAAATCAAATGGCTGATTTTGAAGGAAAATCCTTGTAGGTGATAATTCACATGA